TCATTAAGTCATTGCCTATACTAGCAGTGCCTGTTGATCTTAATAATATGCTAGCAAATGATTTCAATTTGTTATGATCATAAGCTACTGCTGTGTATATTCCTCTCATTGCATCATCTGTTAGTGTGTATCCACAACTCTTCACTTCCCTCAATGTCTCTTCAGATATCAGTCCTTCTGTATGTAACAGATCAACTGATTCTTCAGAGAGTGTTGCTCCAGATATTTTACTACTGTAATACTGTAGTAACTGGCTAGCAGTATCAACCACTATAGAAAAAGAATAGATCTATAAACTTTAATCTTATTGAATTAGAACTGTTTACTTGTTTTTTCAATCTTTTCAGCCACTGTTTTTAGTTCTATTTTTTTAAGAGCACTAGCCAATGTCTGCCAAGTAGGGTGATGTGCTTTACTCAGCCACTTAGATAAACACTCCATGAGACAACGTGAAATATTTCCTCTATGATTAACATCAATAGCTTCCAGTTCAGGATAAAGGAGGCCAAGATTCACTCCAAACTCAAACCATTTTGCCTCAGGAAACCTGTATTGCTTCAATATCTGTACAATCTCATTTAATTTGCTAATATCTAATGATGAAGTAAGCACATACTGAAAGAAATAAAAATAAACTTACCTAAAATAATAGGGAACATTCTTGCTGGCTTGCTTGATGCCATTTTGCTGTCAAAGGTACACTACCCACTATTAATAAATATCTTAAAGCCTTATATGGTATAATTAATAGTAGTGGGTTACATTTTGTGGTCAGACTGCCACAGCAATGAAATTACGTATCTATAGTCTACTGATCAATGTTCATAGTGCCTGTTGATGATCAGGCCTGTCAATTATCTATGACTGAGTTCACTGTATCACCATAGCTACAATGATCATTTAGTACTTTAATGGGAATGTAAATGAATATGCAGTTTTCTTATGCAAACATTCATTGTTAATTTACCTATTTTTAATATCATGCAGTTATTAATTATTTATCATTCTAATTCTCTTTATTCTACAGTTGGTTGCTGGTAAATACGGTCTTGAAGTATTAGTTTATAATGATGAAGGAAACTATGGAAGAAATTTTGTTAAGATTCCAGGCTGTACAGCCTTTTGCAGAAAACTTGCCACCACCAGTTCTAGTCCCGTGATGATTAGCTATACGCTTAACTTAATATTTTTATGAAGTCACATGATCAGACTGGTGCAAGTTTTGTGCAAAGGGCTGTACCATGGTTTTCAGGTTGCTTGACCCAATTTTCTTACTTCCTGCTCACGTGACATGTATTATTAGTATGGGGAAAGTCACGTGATTAACAAATTTGCAAGGTCAAGCAACCTGCAAAGCATGGTAGGCACCTCAAGTAAGTATTACCGTATAGCTGGTTTATTTTGTGGCCTCAAATTTTTGCTGCTTAAATTTTCATTAGAATTAATTTTAGTGCCTTGCTAAATTTTTGTTAATATTTAATTGGTTTTAATAAAATTTAGTGGAATTAATTTTAGTGGATTTGAGCCTGCACGAAAATTAATTCCACACGAAATAAACCAGCTATACGGTAATTGGTGTGGCCTGTTGTCATGGTATTGCCATAGAAACAAGTGACAATGGACCCAAGGGAGAAACCCTGTTCTACCAGTGGGATTTAATCAGTGGTCCGCTACAGAGGATCTCAGGGAACCGGGATTATTGGACTCAACCTTTACTAACACTGGAACACCTCAATGTTGGAAAATACATTTTTAAGTAAACAAAGAAATTAATTGAATTAATTAATATTTAATAGGTTGAGAGTGACTGATGGTGATGGAGCAGTAGGTGTGGCCTATGCTAATGTTACTGTACAGGCGGAACCTGATTACCCACCAACAGCTGATGCTGGAGCGTCAGTATTGATACAATTACCTCATGATGAGGTAACACTGGATGGAGGACGGAGCAAAGATGATAAAGGAAT